CTCCACCCCCCCCCCCCCCCCACCAGAACAAAGAGTCTCTCACTTCTCCCCCACAAAATTTTCTCATCTCTTACTACCTTTCGTAACTTTCTCTGTCTTCTGTTTGGGCTTTAAACCTTTAATTGTGCAATAAAATCAATATTTGGTATAAATGCGGATCATAAGCACAGCTAGGTCACCTGTCCGCCGGTCCTCTTTGATCCGTACCTGATCAATACAACGACATGCGGTTTCCAGTTACCTCACTCAGCTGGGGTTCAAACCCCGGCATGTAGGGTAGGAGTTCGGACCCAGGGTACACATGTTGCCTTACTGTGACAACAGATCAACTCTTTTGCTGCGATATTCCGTCAAAAATTCCTCAATTTTTGCGTAAACCCAAAATTCATTACAGCATCCACAATAATCCGGTGCTACACCATAACCCGAATCCACACATTAAAATATTTAAAAACCAGTGTTTTAACATTTAATTATTTTTCACGATGCATTTGATGAGTAATTCTTTTAATGACGGTGAAAACTCGTATTTTTTGAGGAAATTATCCGTAATTTATGAAGGCCTGTACCAGAGATTTTAAATGGCAATACAAGTCGAACGTTAGATATCAATCACTGAAATACATTCACGCCAACTTCATGTTGGAATCCTGCCAGTGGCATATCTGTCCACGTCATTTTCAGTTCTGCCGTTTGAAGATAAACTTCTAGATGAAGGCAGCAAGAACCTCTAAAAGACTGCACGGAACAAGAGCCCAGAATACAGCCATCTTCAAAAGATACGCAATTTTCGGGCTTCGGCTGAGGAGTGCGTGCAGATCGGACGCACTTTGATCCAACTCTTCGCGCTGTGTTTGGCCTTAAACTTGTAAGGGCACGCCCTCGGGGAACACGAGGTAACTGAGCAGCGGACGAAATTCTTACGTGCGCGCAAATAATTTACGATGTTCTGTACGGACCGCGATACTCAATAAGCATTATTCAAAGCGATGAAATATATGAACTGCGCGGAGCGTGACTTTAGAGTACAATTCATTAACAGACGCTAATGAACCAGAAAAAATCCATTCCAGAGGTGGTGACGTCATAAAACCGTCTTCGGACAAGGTGCGGGTGGAATCTCCGTAATTACTTTATACCAGTTATGAAGCTATATTAATTACGCACGTTGGAATTACACCACCAACATAATTTTCCATCACCCCCGGTAATTCATCCCTTCAGTCCTACCCCCACCCCCGAAACTGATTGATGAGATTCATAGTGAGGGGCGGATTCGTAGAACCAAAATGCTGGTTGCACCGAGAGGCGATTAGAATCAGTCACCTACGTGTATAAAGATCGTAAAATAGTTGTAATTAAAAATGTAAGTAAGCCTGTGACGTTACAGCTCAGAGGTGCATTGGTTCGTTGACATTTCACAAACTTAACTCCCTGGCAGCAGAACACAGCCCACCTCAATAACATTCATCTTAATATTATCCTCCCATCTTTTTCTTGGTCTGACCAGTGGTCGTTTACCAGGATTTTTATTTGTAGTGTTCTGTCTGACGACAGGTCCATATGAACAGGATCCTTCCATCCTTTTCTCGGACTGGGACCTGTTCATATACGTTCTTGGCAGATGATCCAGAAGTGGTTTGCCATTGCCTTCTTCTGTGTGTGAATGGAGTAATTGTTGGGATGCCACGGAGGAAAACTCCGTGTTGCCTAGACCACGGCCTTGTCCAACACAAGTTATAAATTCGGGCACCGCCGGGAATCGAACCCGAGACCCCAGGATTACAAGGCCAGCGATCATGCGTGCTACATGTCCAGCCCATCGGAGCCTCCACTGTCCTCAATGCGCTACGTGACCCGCACAATTCACGTAGCTCCTCGCTGACATTTAACAAAACAATATTAAAGTTGATGCGGTATTAATAACTGAGCTTCGTTTTTAAATTAAAAATGACTTGAAATCAAAACTGTCTCAAAGCTAACAAACGATATGTTCACATCACGCAAATTCTATGAAGAAACAACTATTATTCGGTTTTAAACGATTATCAGATGGATGTCTTCTGGGTTGGAGCGAGCGAGGATCTCTGAAACGTCGGCAAAGTTCTACCAGACTACACGGCGGTACAACCCAGAAGACAGAAATCTTCCTATTATATCAGTGGCCTTCGTTAATAACACGAGTAACCACTGTGGCCCGCGATAATTAAAATTATCCCGTCCCCTGCAGTAATTAATTTCAGGCGCTTGGTGATATTTTGAATCGAGATTCGTTACCCTCCCCCGCCAGGACTTAAAACCTCTTCCGACAAACACATTTATACGACAAGCTTCTCCCTAACGAGGTTACGAACTACTACACTACAAGGAGTCATAACCCAGATCACAAACAAACAGCGAAAACTTCAACGTTTTAATTCTTAGTTCCACGTGGAATGCAAACAAATTTCTTTCTTCAAATAAATTAGAATTAACGTGAAGATTACATTTATGACGCGAAATACGACTCAGGTTCCAGATTTATGTCAGTGTCCGTAATAAATATCACGCAGTTCGGAGGTTAAATTTTCGCGAAAACATAAAAATCCATACATCTAATTTCACACGTAAAACTTTCAGTAATTCGGGTCATAGCACTTTTTAAATCAAACAATTACAAAACCTACGTCATAAATACTTTAAATTCTGTTAAGACTTTATAACGCCTTCTATCTTTAAGCTAACGATTGTGAAATTAATGATTCATTTATAAACACAATATCCCCTAGTAAAGATATATCTTACGTTAAATTACTTTACGTAGAATTTAAATTTCGCAGTGACGCCATATTGTAATTATACTCACGTTGTTCAGTTTTAGCTTCGTTTTGATCTTGTCTTGCTTGTAGTGGCCTGAAAGTTGGTAGAGGACGGCCCTGCTCCTGCGACGCCCATAATTGGCTGGTGGTGCCTCGGGGTCCAAGTTACCGTTCGCATCTGAAACAAGAAAACGCGAAGAGCAACGCGATGAAGCCACGAGCAGCGACGTTTCAGGGTTACAGTGTAAAATGAACTTTAATATTATTTTCAAATCTAAACCTAGGTCTCAAAATTAGTCTCTTCCTTTGAGATTTATAAACAAAAAATTTGTAAGCATTTCTTGTCTCCCCCAACCTATCTTAAGATCCTTGATTTTATTACTATAATAATTCCTGGTGAACAGTAGACCTACAAATTACGAAGTTAATGCAATATTCTTCATTCTCCTGTTAATTACTCCCCAATAGGTCCAGATATTCTCCCCACATTTTTTTCAAAGACGTTCAATCTACGTTCTTCCCATGGGCGATAAATATGCTCTGACCCCCCACCCCCCCAAAAAAATATAGTTTCGTATAATTTAATCTTTGAGTTTTTAGACAATCCAGGCATTAAGGCAAAGGTTTCAGAACCGAATGATAAGCGTACATTCCCCTGACGTAACGTGATCTTAATTTATTTATGAATACAATTCTGATTTGTTACCGTCATCTCCAGATATCTGGACTAGTCACATTTTCTAAACACAGCAAATTCGAATTAGCACTGTGCGCCCAACTTGTTACAGAATTTCCAATAATCCACACAACACAGACATTCAAGAACACAAAGTCACCAGCATTTTCAGGGAATGGAAATAGAATACGTCGGCTTTGAGTACATAAGTCTTGTCACACCACAGAAACCACATCAAGACACGGGCTGGAGAGAGGATTGGAGGGCTGTTCGATCAGTGGATGTGTTGAAAATAATGCACATTCAGTGCTGCCAACTCAACGGAGCGGAGAAATTCCTCAAAAGCTGATAGTTTCTAAGCTAATTAAGAAATTCCCAGCCTTTTACAAAACCTGAAGGTTCATTACCTTGTTCACAACATCCCGCTATGGGACACATTCTACACGTTCCAACCCGGTTTCCTCATGACAAACATTAATATCACCTTCCCATCTACGTCTAGGTCTTCCGAATGATCTCTTTCCTTTGGAATTTCTAACTAAAATTTTGTACGCATTTCTTATCGCTGACATGCATGCTGCATGCACAGCGGATTTAATCTTATTTGACATTCTAATAATATTTAGGAAACGGTTGGGTTAAAATAATGACGTCATCACCCGGATCTCAAACACCTTCGACCTGTGTTCTTCCCTTGACGGAACTGACCAGGTTTCACGCCCATACAAAAGAACATACAAACCATAGTTTGTTTATTTCAGTATTTACAGTTTTCGGTAGCAGACGGACAGACAAACGATTCTGAACCATGTGGTAGCAAAGTATTTTTTTAGTTAAATTTTCTCTAATTTCTTGTCGAATGTGGATTTGATTTGATACACCCGTTTCAATGTGTCTAAACTTAGCCATATTTTCAAAATATTTATAAATTACATTTTTTTAAAAAAATTTGTTGCGCACTGAGGCAAACAGGTATCACGGCGCACGGTACGAAGATGGCTATCGTCTGGGTTGTAGAATTCTGCCGACGTTTCAGTAACACCTGTTGTCTCTGTCATCTGGGAGATCATGGCCCTGATGATGAACAAAGCAAACAACTGTATAAACGTGGGTGGATTTCTACAAGACTACGCGGCTCAACCACTCAGAAGACAGCCAACAGATACTCAATACTTTCTGACCTCTTTCCTTACTTCTGTACTACTTAGGTTACTTACAGGT